GTGTGTGTGTGTGTGTGTGTGTGCGCTCACCTTGGGGTTGTAGAAGGCAGCAATGACATGCCGGAGCCGGTTGGTGTAAATCTGAAGGCAGCTGAACAGCGCCACCAGCAGGACACAACACACACATCTCACATAGACCTCAGCAGAGAGGGTGGAGGGGGGGGACATGCACTCTGAGGGGGGAGAGGAAGAGGTGTGGGACACTTTTGTGTGTAGTTTGAGACAAACTGCGCTGTCAGCAAAAGTTCGGCAGTCGAGACTGAAACTTTCTGCGTCCAACAAAGCAAATGTGGACATTTACTCCCGTGTCAGAGATGTAACTGACACACATGGACACATAGTAAAATCAGTCTGATTTAATTAGCGCCTGTGTTCATCAACATGAAAATCAGAGTCATTAAAATGTGCTGTCAGGACGACGCATGTGTAACAGTACTGTATACTGCCCTCTGGTGGTCATCTTTTAGGCCTGATTCTCTGGTTGTTTAATGATCTGGTGAATTTGAATATATGCTAAACAAATCCTGTGTGACCTTTGACCTATGACCCACCCTGGTTATCACTTTGGATATTGAGGGTGGACGAGCTGTTGAAGGCTGAAATTGTCGTCCTCAGGAGGCGGGCCATCATGGTGTCCCCTCCCACTCTGATGTCCACCTGGTGACTACCTGCAGAGAAGGGGCGGAGTCAGAAAGTGAAACTCCCTGCAGTCAGCGAGTTCAGTCTGCAGCATTTCTGTAAGATAATCCCAAACACATGAGATAAGAGCAGAGTAACATTTATTATGGGACTACCTGTATAAATAAAGGTTAAATAAAATATTTATTATTTATGGGTCGCGGGGGAGCTGGAGCTACCACGGGACGAGAGGCGGGGTGCACCTCGGACAGATCGCCAACCTGACCCACGGCAAAAACAGAATATATCCTGTCCAGTTTGTGTGTTTCACAAAGTTTCAAACACAAGTGTTGATATCAGCTCCACTTATATGAAGTGTTACTTAATACAGGTTTTAAACCTCTTTCACTCCAGTCATCCTGCTGGTCCTTCAGCAGGACATCGAAATGACCCCCAGCAGCTCCAAACATGAGATAAATCACAGCTGATGTTCAAATCACCTGCCCTGCACACAGCTGACCCGTGTGTGGGATTTAAGACTGGAGAGTGGTGTGTGTGTGTGTGTGTGTGTGTGTGTG